CTCTCTCTCTCTCTCTCTCTCTCTCTCTCTCTCTCTCTCTCTCTCTCTCTCTCTCTCTCTCTCTCTCTCTCTCTCTCTCTCTCTCTCTCATCAGCGACGAATGAATCTCTAAAAGAGTTCATTACCCTGCCCATTTTCGAAACCGCCAGCGGTGTATCTCTGGCATCCTGACAATCTTGACGATAAACTTTTGAATATGAACTTTTCCGTCTTCACCCGAACAGAGCACCCGGTCATAATCAGCCATGCGCACTGAAAGTTGCGCCAAATTTATGGGCATAATGACCGGGCGCTCTATTCGTGCGAGGACGGTAGTCAAGAGCTCTTCTTGACTCGTTAGGTGAACCCGTGTTGCCAAGTTGCTGGCCATAAATCCAGAGGAAATTCCACCTAACAACACCAGTGGTTCACAGAGCTGTGCACGTGGTCCGTGATCGGCCACTAGCTCGATCGTATACCGACATCAACCAGGCCCGCTACCGTCTTCACCCCGAATAGAACACCCGGTCATTATAGCGGTATTTGGCACAACTTTCAGTCCAGATGCAGCGGCAATGACCGGGCGTTCTATTCGGGTGAAGACGGTAGCTTGATCGTATGCAGACGTCAGTGTCTAATTGACAGGAAGTCGAGAGTTCAAAACCTGAAAAGCTGTCATGCATGTCAAGCAACCCACGTCACCAAACCGTATTGATTATCAGAAGATGTCTGTGAATCTCAAATTACCCAATATCCTGGCCTTGAAAGAACGTGGGGCACCCCCCTCCCCCCCCCACAATCTCCCAAACCTCTTCTCTGAAACCCATGTTTTATCTATGTGATCATGAATCAGACCATGCATTTCAATCTCTTCTCTGGACTCTACACAGTTGATCATTGTCTGATCAACGGGACCATGTACGGGGACCATGTACGGGACCATGTATGGGACCATGTATGGGACCATGTATGAGAGGATGTAGAGGACCATGTATGGGGCCATATATGGGACCATGTACAGGACCATGGATGGAACTAGACCATCGGACTAGAATGTATGGGACCATGTATGGGACCATGTATGGGAGCAGACCATGTATGGTACCATGTGTGGGACTAGACCATGTATGGGATAGGACCATGTATCATGGGATGAAGACCATGTCTGGGACCATGTCTGGGACCATGTATGGAAACTGCAACTGCAAGGAACCATGGACGCAACAAGACAATATATGGGACTAGGGACTGGAACCAGAAGGGAAGCAAGTATGGGACTATCTTTGTAATCATGTTGGCACCGCATATGCGACCATGTATGGGATAGGACCACGTATCATGGGATGAAGACCAGGTCTGGGACCATGTACGGAAACTGCAACTGTACGGAACCATGGATGCAAGAAGACAATGTATGGGACTAGGGACTGGAACCAGAAGGGAAGCAAGTATGGGAGTATATTTGTAATCATGTTTGGGAGCACGTGCAGGACTATGTACAGGACCATGCATGTATGGGACCATTTACTCATCCGTGGAGTGTGGATGGCCATAACAATCTTATCCTCGTATTATATAGGGGAGGATGGGCATACAGGATTCTATTTACACTCCCAATTTGTACCAAGTGGTGAAAAAGAGTGAAAATTTATATAAACCTAAAAGCAGTCCCAAATATAGGGTCTGATAACCAAAAAAAAAAGAAAAAAGGGACTGATAGCAGTCCATCAAGCAGGTCCCCAGTACGGATATTGACGGCAACCGACCACAGAGCCTGATGACTGCCCAAATGATCTGTCAGAGAGAGAGAATCCCTCCCTCCCAAGGGGGGAAAAGGGGGGGGAGCTAAGGGTTTACTTGCGCTGGCCTGTTATCGATTGTGTGTAGAGAGTTGCAATCAAGGCCAGATTCGTTCTAAAAGTCCATGTGCGAGTATGCTCTAAGCGAACAGTAAAAGAATCTAACTCAGGGCGTACTCACACTAGTACTTTTCTAAATGAATCTGAGTGCAATTACGGCCCGACCTGGATGCACCTGACCATAATCGTGTCCAGAGCTTGGTAGAAAAAGTCGGTCCTAGTGTGAGTTGGCCTTCACAGTGGTTTCTCTATTTACACTAATCGGACAGTAAGAAGAACCTAACTATATTCACACTAGTACTTTTCTAAATGAATCTGACTGCAATTACGGCCCGACCTGGCTGCACCTGGCCATAATCCCGTCCAGAGCTTACTAGAAAAAAGTCCTAGTGTGAGTCAGCCCTCACGGTGGTTTGGTATCCTCATCATCATTAATGTATGGTCTCAGGTTCCTTGCATCTGTCTCGGATGCCAGCCACCGACGGTCACAAAAGGCAGCACGTAGTAACCCCCTCTGTCAGACAGACTATCACACACAATAAGTGCACCCTCCCACTCCCCACACCTCCCATCACTCATGGACCTTACCCCATCATACTAACACTAATATTTCAATGAATGGTCCTCAAGTCTGGTGTCTGGTCCAAGTGGGTCTGCTCCAAGTTCCTTAATTCTATTTACAATTTTACATTTATGCACACAATAGAATCTTGAGACGACTGCGCTAAAGACACAAACGATCCGACGGCTGATGATGCGTCGGTCTCACACATTCCTTCCAATCCGATTGAGAAGACGAGGACTTCTTTCCTGGCCGGATGCATCTGAACGCAAATGAAGCCGGTTGTGGATGCATGTGACTGCGAATTACGTCCAGAAACCAGTCCAAACAGAGTCCTATTGTGAGTAAGTATGCTCGCGGAGAGAACCTTGGTCAGACCATGCGCAATTGGCCAACAACTCCAGCACATTCTCCACAAACCAGAACTGCTGCTCCTTAGACACGACAGCGAAAGTGGGCACGTGAATAAACACAGACATGTTGCCATTCGCTTCCGCGTGCCGCAGCGACTGATAATACACGTAGTTGCAGACGAATCGTCCCGCGTCATCAGAAAGCGCGACATCAAAGCCGCGCACTCGAAGCGAACGGACAAAGAGGTCGGCATTCAGCTTCGTCTCCCGGCAGTGGTTCATGCCCCCATCCTCGGGGACAATCGGCTGCTTGTGCGGCTGCCAGCCCATCTCATCTGGGCACCGAAAGCTTGCCTCATTCACAGCCCGGCGCTCCAGTGCGAACTTGGACGCCCCGCTGTTGACGCCAAAGTGCACCCAAACTATGCGAGGTGGCACCTCGTTCGCCCGAGGCGGCGCCTTGTTTGCCAGAGGCGCCGCGGAGAGAGAGGTGTCCTCTCCGTCAACATTTGCGTCCAACTTGCAAGGTCGAACTTCCTCCTCTTGTGCATTGTCCAAGAGCTCCAGAAGGGCTTTCAGCCCGCCGCTTGCCGCAGTCTCAAGCACCGTACAACTCCCGAGGACGGAGCCCGCTGGCATACCCCCATTCCGTGCCATATGCTCCTCTAGTTCGCTAACCAGCACTTCCGTCGGGTTCTCGTGAACACCCTGGAACCTCTTGAAACCAGTGACATGAAAGATGGTCCTCGGGCCCTCCGACCCCATCGTTACCCTACCCCGAGGGGCCAATCCCCGCGGTCAGACTATTCTGTGCGCAATTGGAACAACGCCCACAAACAAGACCTTCCGAATCGCCGCCAACTCTTTCAACGTCCAATCAGCCGCATCAGCCACGTTTTTGCGATACAAGCCAGCCACGTTTAGAGACAACAACGCTGCTAACCCGCCACTACCCTTTAGTTACCACCCTGGTTAGCACGAGGCACCCCTCCCTCATCTCCCGGCCCCCGCCCCCCTTGCCCCCCCTCCTAGGGCTTCTTCACTCCGTACGTTGGATTGATGATCCAACGCTCAATGGCCACAGATCTTTCTCTAATGCCTTTCCTCAGTGCGTGGCCCCAATATCGCAGCAAGTGGTGGTTCACTGCTGTTTTCAATGTGAGCCCAATTTGGCAATTTCAAGCTTACGGTGAGCTGACTTCGTGTATCTCTCTCTGGGTGTCTGAGTTTTTGTGACAGAAGAGAAAAACAGGTATGTGTACAAAAACCCCTTGTCGCAACTGCAAAACCCCAGCGCATTGGACAGGGAAGATGTCAACAATGCAAAGGGGGTACTACACAAGTGCAAAGGGGTACCGCACGAGTGAAATAGAAGAAAGGGGTTGGGGGGGGGGGGAACCTGGTGCTCAAGTTTGCAGTGAACCAGTGAGTGGTGAGTCTCAGCAGAGTTTGTCGTGATCGAAGCGGAAATGGGCGCGCACGCTAAAACCCCTTGTCGCAACCCCCGAGAACCCCAGAACGTTGCGGCGGCAAGAAAAGAAAGATTTTCCAAAGTACGAAGGGGGTACTACACGAGAACAAGGGGGTGCTTCCTTTTATTCTTACAATGGCCTCGTCATTGCTGAGCCTTCGACGGGGGGAGTTTCCGGGTCAAATTTAACGAAAGAACGCTACTGCAGAACCCCTCAGACCCCTTGTTGCAGCCTAATCCCCAAAATGTCAGGGCAAGGAGGGAAGATTTCCACAGTACAAAGGGGGGTAAAAGGAGGGTTACGTGGGGGTATTGTGGTACTGCAAGCAGAGGGTAAGCGGACACTTAGGGAACGCTATTGCAGAACTTGGAACCCTTCATCAACTTACTACCGTCCGATTCCCTGAGGCGCTCACAACAAAGCGCCGGAGTTGATCTTCACTTCTCTTTCCTGTTCCTTGCACTGTCTTCTAATTGATGATTGTAAGGTCTGAAGAGGCTGTTGGGGAGGTTCACTTGCAGAATGTCATGAAAACTTTTGAGGACCTCCGTCGTCTTCTTCGCTTTCTTCAAGTGCGCAGATTCCAGCTTTCCTCTTCGCGTCCTCGTCAATACCAAGTTCTGGATGAGTGGAGAAAAGAAGGCACACGTTCCAAATGTCCCAAAAACGCGGTATCGGCACATCAGTCACAAGGTCCTCATGAATCAATTTCCAATCAAACCGACATGAAATGACGAACCGTAAACGTATGACCTGGTGGCCCATGTCCCTCGACTGTACGCACATGTGACTACTACCGACTTCACCCGAATAGAACGCCCGGTCATTATCGCTGCATCTGGACCGAGAATTGTGCCAAATACAGCTATAATGACCGGGCGTTCTATTCGGGTGAAGACGGTAGTAAACAGGTTCAGAGTTCAAATCTGAACGGAATCACAAAAACGGGCATGTAACCATTAGCCAAAGAGGTTACGAGTTCAAATCCGGACGGAATCACAAGAATTCAATAATGTAAGCGTATGGCGGCTATGGCCCCTTTAAGAGGACACTAACATATAAGTGCATCAGAGCCCCGGCAGGAATGTCCGAAGAGCTTTTCTTGTTTTCCCACTCAAGCAGACAGCAAGGTACCAAAAAAACAAAAACAAAAAAAAACGGGGGCATAAGCAAACTCTGCCTCCTCATGTACACATTATTAGGTATACACTGACAATCTCAAGTTCACGATCTCACACAATCGTAGTCAAAGTCAGCAAGGTGTGCTTGACAAATACACATTAAAATAAAAAATAAATTAAAAAAAAAGGAATGAAAGGACTTCAACGCGTGGATGGCCGTTGGGTCAGTGGTTAGAGCACTGGTTGGAAGTGCGCATTGAGGTATGAGGTTGTGGGTTCTGAGCTTCGTTGCCTCGCGCACGTACACGGGGAAGCGCTTTCATAACGCACAAGCCATTCACACATCACCCTTGGGAACGACGCATGGTAAGATTTATACAGACACTGCCTGCACACCGCCTAAGGGGTTTAGGTCCATGGTTGTAGTATGCTGCTTAGGGCCATAGGGAAGGCTGCTTGCGTGCTTGGTCTTAGGGAGTCGGAGGATCAGGGACTTATCTTGGCTCCACCATGAGCTGGGGGGGGGGAGGGGGGGAGGGGGAGATTTGGGAGAGGGGGGTAAGGGGGAGGGTTTACTGCCTAGACTGTCGATAACCAAGAACTGCCAAACCTGTTGAAACCGTCGATAGCCGTTGGTTGTGTTCGAGTCTTGTATCCGGCATGCACACACTTGGACCCTCCCATCTGTCAGTCTCACCAGTATATACTAGTCCGTGGGGGTGCCATGGTCGAGCCTGGGTACAGCCAGTATGTTTGCCACTTGGACCCTCCCATCCATCAGTCTCGAGAGTATATACTAGTCTGTGGGGGTGTCACTGCCAAGCCTTGGTACAGCTAGTATGTTTCCCGTCACTATGACACCCGTACAAGAGTCCACACAGAGCAAACTTAGACTACGGTAGGGCTCATCTCGGGGGGGGATAATCCTACGCACACATTCAGTGTTAGTATGGGGTGGGTAGCGGGTACTTCTCATCCCACAGGTATCTCACGATGCCTGCGGGTGATGCTTCATCCAGGTTGGGGTCCATGGGAATTCTCATTGGGGGAATTAGTCGGGACTGTGGATTCTTGGGGAGCCTGGGTTAGGAAGGCATCCTGCTTAGGATAGGGAAGGGCAGGATATCGCATCTTAATGGAAGGGCGGTTCGATGCCCATAGAGTCTGCGGGATGAGGCACAACAGATAGGGGACGACTCCATATGCATGGACCCCACCTGTGCCCAGGTCGTCCTCACCATTGGAGTTAGGGTAGTGTCTGCACGACTAGAGTTAGGGTAGTGTCTGCACGATTAGAGTTAGGGTAGTGTCTGCACGATTAGAGTTAGGGTAGTGTCTGCACGATTAGAGTTAGGGTAGTGTCTGCACGATTAGAGTTAGCGTAGTGTCTGCACAAAAACGTTCGGGTACGTTCAGTGAGCGTTGGCGCAGATCACGACTTGGAATCTGAGCATTAGCATAGGCCATGGTACCATGGTGCCATCCTGCGGTGACTCCCCCTGGGTCCTTGCAATCCATTTGACTCCCAATGGATGAGTACTACGGGCACCTCAGGAGGCCTGGCCGCCACCCTCCTTTACACCCTAGAACTTGAAAAGAAGAAGAGAGAAAAAAAGGAAAGGACTTTAACGGCACCCTTCTGGACGAGACAGATCGTTAACAGACTCCTATTGGCTCTTGTTTTTCCGCTCCCATCTCAGAAAAACAGATGTCCCAACAGAAGGACATCTGGCGAAATTGGAACGCTACTGAGAGAGATCAGCATGGCCCCTGTGCAAGGATGTATAAATCGAGAAATGGTCCAAATTTTGGTGGTAAGCCCGATTCCATGTCAGCTCAGAGCGCTAAAATTGGATGATTGGACAGGGCCTCTATTTCCGGGGAAAAACTGAGAGAGAGAGAGAGAGAGAGAGAGAGAGAGAGAGAGAGAGAGAGATGCTAGCACTGGAATTGAGATTGTCACGCATAGACTGGAAGTGGGCCACATTAACCTGAGAGAGATGCTAGCACTGGAATTGAGATTGTCACGCATTCCGGTGGTTCTCTTACCACCACTGGAATAGAGGCCTTGCATAGGGGTTCTTATTTTAAAATTAATAATTCAAAAAATGCAACCAATCCTAGCATCAACACCACTATGCAAAGCACACGAGATAACGAGACAAGGTTGTACAGCATTAGAAAATCGATTTTTTTTTATTTTTATTTTTTTGGAGAAGAAAATCGATTCTAACACGAAGAGAACACACATCAGAACACACATCAGCCTGACGTTCCCAACTCTTTCCGCAAACACGCCTGTGCGTGTGACGGCACATGCAGAGTACAGATCGGACTTTCCTGACTGTATTTGGACGTAACTACGTGGAAATGCATACAGAAAAGTGAGGTACGGAACGGGGAAAGAAAAAAGAAAAAAACGAGTAAAACGAGAAATCCGATCCTAAAAATAAATAAATAACATATCTTGGCAGGTAAAAAAAAAAAAAAAAAAAAAAAAAAAAAAA